CTCCGCTCATTTTCAGCGGCCCTGTATATTGTGCCCTGCCGCTACCCCCTTGCCACCCTTCTAAGGCCACGGATATTCAGTGAGCGCGCCGAATATCCGTTGCACTGTTGGAGCTGTTCGAGCCGTTTACCTCCTGGTTTCTTTTCTTTGTTATTGTCGTTGGTGTAGGATTCTTAACATTTTCGAGTGGATTGATTTGTACTTCTCTCGAGCAGATATCAACTGATTGCGATCAGATGACAAAATTGTATGTTTTATGTTTCCAATGGTGTTACGGCTTTAATAATAATGAAATATACATAGATAAGCAATTTAGAAAAAAATTCAAGTTTTACCGTGGCCTGGCAACTCAACGGTTATGAATCGTTAAAACGTCGAATTACATAAGAAGCGATAACTAATAAATAGCAACTGATTGAGAAACTTGTATCGGTATAATATCATGACGCAGGAATAAAAGAAAACTGTAGAAAAAATATTGAAAGTATGCCTAGGCCTATTCAAGCAGTTATAGATGCGAAGATTGATACGACGAAATATTTATATGCATATTTAAAAAAAATTTTAAATACAGTATTGACGCGTTACCTGGCCCGGGACCACATCTGGCCAGCAATCAAGGGAGGTTCTAGGAAACCTCGAGTACGTCTTCTCCACTGAGTGCGAGTGGGATACTGATATCTGATGCGTAATATGGAGGTCCTTGTTTATTTTAGATACGTAACGCCAAAGAGTCACTCCACGAAGTCAGTTCCAAGAACTGGTGGATATAGCGACGGACAGTTAACAAAGCGAAATCCCGGCCAGCTAACGCGATAGTACTGTAATTTGTTCAACTTTTAAAATCTTTGTTATACATTATTAAAAACATTATATTTGTTGTAATAAAGGAGGTTTCGTTTAAGTGTATTTTTGCCAGGCTTCAAATAAGTGTCTTAAGGACCCTTTTTCCGAAAACCTCCCCAATTATTTTTGCACATAAAAGAATTTCTTATGATTGTGATGATCGGAATTGTAAGTTTTTGGCGGAATGGATTGTTTCGTTTTCGTAAGCAGTAGGAAGGTGATGGAATGAAATAAACGTTTGGAGGGTTATTTCTGCAGTTTCTTAGTGGTAACAGTTTGGTTAATAGTTTCTTCAATGACTACTTATTCATCAAAAGTTAACTTTTGTGAGTAAATGTGTTATTCAACAGTGATATATAATAAGAAAAAAATTCTAAAAAGAAATGGTACCTTATTAAAGATATTTTCGATAATTTGTCTATTTACTTTGGGTTTTGTGTTATCTTCGACACTTTCGAATGTATAGGTAATATCCATTTTTCGTGTCTTGTTACGATCCGGTCTAAGAACGCTGAATGTTTTCTTTGGACATCTTATGCGGTACATTTTCCAAATTTACACACGTTTCCAAGATATTTTATGATAAATACCAATGAATAGTGGAATGATTCAAATTCTGTTTCTCGGCCAATCCTTTAATTGTAACAATTGGATTTTGTTCAACCGTTGCTCTCGGTATGTCTGCGAATTCTACAGGTCTTCAAGAACAAAATTCACCATCAGGGCTGTAATTTCTATTTCGAACCTTTTCAAATCATCGATACACTTAGTTGGCACTAACAAAGACACGTTTTCCATTTTCTTTGTGTATATTGCAGACCGTTACAGCTGCACTGTATACAGCTGTACTATATCTAACATTTCATGTAAATCTTAATACAGGATCTACTCTGCCGAAATTGTGAGATAATACTGAAAAAACTGCCAAGTTTACTTGGGCAAATATATATATCAAGCACTCGAATATTTTATTGCAACCCTGTCGAAAAATTCGCATCATTTGTGGAATGATCTGGTACGTAAAAATATGCGTAGACATACTTCTAAAAAACAAATTTCTAATTTTTGAAATTGAATTAAATTATGCTATAGGAATATTTCAACTCGCTAACGTTGTAACTAGTTTCGCAACAAGTCTGATCACACACTGATACTTTCTACTGTTAGATCATAAGCTGAATGAAACTATATGACTAGCTACAGTACGAAGAGAAAATTAGGTATTCTGAAAAGTGACTTACTGAAGAATCTAAAGAATTATTAATTTCAGAAATTGCTGCAGGAAAGTAATAGTAGAAGCTTAAATGTCTCTATAATAATTAAATATATCACAAACGATGTTAGAGTTTAGCTTGCCGAGGTTTATGACATGGAGCAGGCAGGCAGTTATCTTTCAGACCTTTGTTGAATGCGCGTACCATCCGTGCACCAGCATTAGGATGGTACGTGACAAAATTAGTTTTTCCCTTTTTCACCTTTTTAATCATGTTTCGCTAGTTCATAGAATTTAGGACTCGGTAACACAGGCCATGTCATAAACCCCGAGGACCCAAGCGGTGACCTGACGAAAGACGACGTCACCAAGTCCGGGGTTTTTTTTTTCCTAACGGTGAACAGTTAGTCACCCCCATCTCTTCCACTTTCTCTCGGGAAGAACCCAGTTCTCCTTCCAGAAAAGACCACGCCAAGGGCGCAATGGAAGGGAGAACACGAGGAAAGGGAAACGGGAGTGCTGGGACCGGACAGGGTTTTTGGAGGAGTAACAGAAGAGAGATTATAGAGACAAGACAGTCAGAAGCGTCACTCATTACTACGGTCCCAAAGCCGTTATCAACCTTTGGGTGGTCCTTCAAGAAAACTATAAACGGCACGTAGTGCAATGTTCAGGGCTCGAGTACACCCTGACAAACGACACACTGTATTAAGACCTAAACATCGACTCACGACGAATGTACAATTACAAAGAAAAATCATTTATGAATCGAAAAAGTATCAACGTTATTTAAATCAAATTAGATTTAATAACAACGTATACTTACAAACCAGCTTTACCTTTATTTTGTTTTTTTTTCTATTTTATTCCACGTTATATTCGTTTATTGTCTTGTCCTAGCCACGCGCTAGTTCGTTCTATCCAAAGCATTAAAGTCGTTATTCTTACAATTAATTAAGCGAAAATACGCAAAACATATCTAACAAACAACCCCTGTTCGGTATACCCAATTCTGCACTTTTGCATCCGATACTGCGCAAATCTTTCACCTAAAACCATCTTCCTCCCAAAGTTATGCTTATCCTTATTGATCCCAAACAAACTATCTAACCTATAAACAATCATTTCTTGTTGACCTTTTCAATACTACGAACGTGTATGAGTTTCGAAAAGTTGTTCACCGTACGCTATGAACCCATTTGTGCATCCGCGTTCAACCATTCATTGAGCACTATGAAACCATATTTGCGCCCGAGGTTATCTTCGCCCTTGTGTCTAGAAATAAAAACAAAAGCAATAACAACAAACTGTTTTTAACTCCACGCTTGACAAATGTTTGCTTTATCAGAATTTTTCCCTCGCGAATCCTCCTCTCTCTTGCGTATTTGTTAACTACAGATATTGCTTTGACGTCAATTGGTGACAGCATCGGTATTTACATATTCCTTGTTATTTACGGACAGTTGTCTTTGCTTAGCTTTACCGAAAAATTCACAATATGAATGTAAAAAGTGCAACATTGGGGTATGTATTTAACCCTACTTCAAGATTTACCAAACTCAGAAAAATGATTAATTTTGTAAACATAAAAAATGCTATTTTTAATATCTATAATAAATGACATAAACGACGAATAAGTAATTTTTTCGAACTCTTTGTACGTTCATTTCAAATAATTTCGGGTAAAATGGATATATTTGACATAAAACAGGAAATATTATTCAACCCAGCGCGTGCTTTATCGTGATAACTAAGTAGTGTATCATGAACGCGCATCATCGGACATCTTAGCGCTGAAAGCGTTAAAGAACCGACCGTACCACGTATAAAAACATCCCCGCTGAAAGCCCGCCTAATAACCCTCGACAAATCCCTTTAAACGAAACCCAAGGAAAACAAACATCAGCCAATATCCCTCCCGTAGATCAACCAGATTTGTCCACGATTCGCGGAGAGTATCTTGTCACGTCCGCGTTTAAAGAAACGCAAAAGCCAGGCGGCGGCGGCGGCGGGCGAGATTAGAGGCTCGCTTGGAACGCGACAGGATGCAGTTTCCCCCAGCGTGTTGCGGGGGTTCGTTGCCGCGAGAAGGGGATCCGGTATTGCGGTCGGAAGCGAGGGGCAAGGGGCTCTTCCGGGGGCTTAACATACACACTCCACCCCCGGTAGGCGGAGTGTACCGCCTACGAGCTGCCCCCACCGCCGACCGCGGCACTGATACGCGATATCAGCGAGCACTTGTTGCTCCGGCGTATAGAGATTCTGCCGGAGAGCACGAACCGCGCCAACGGGCGCTCCGTGCCGCGATTTTTCACGTGCTGATTTTTCCACCTCCTCCGTCTACCACCCGAAACCCTCCCTCCTCATACTCTCGCTGTCGTCGTCTCGTTCGCTCCAGCGGGTCGGTTGAAATTTTCGCGCGCGCCCCTATCGCCGGTGCGATGGCTGTGCATCTCTGCCGCTCCCTTTCTCTGTCTGACGGTGGCGGGTAACGATATTCCAAGCTCGAAAACGAGCGAGCCGCACGGATTCCGTCACGCGGCCCGGCCTCGAGTCCGAGAAATGTCGGAGGTGCAACGCTGTAAATCTTCTTCGTTTGTTGCGATGCTTGGCGAACTTCCGCCGCCGCAGGGCGCTCCGATATGATACGCGCGCGGCCACGCGACGGGACGGCCGGTTCAGAGTAACTGACTCGACAGTTTTGCTTTCTATTTCTGTCTTATTGTATTCCTTCTTCTGTTCGTCTTGTAGCTTGTTTTCGGTTTTATTATCGTCTTGTTTCTTCATTTGCCGTTCTTTCTTTTTCCCCTTTTTCTTCTTCAATTACTTTTGCTTTTGAAAGGGGGAGGCGGAATTTTTACGGATGTGTTGAAGTTATACAAAACGATTTATGAGCTCGAACGAGGTAGTAATGTATTTTGGATGTGGTTGATTGTTACAGGCAGTGCGGTGGCTGCAGCCGACACCATTTCCGCGCCGTGGACTCCCACGAGTTCCGGGCCGCCGCCCGATGCGAACGGCTCCGGCTCGGATACCAAGAACCTCGACGTTGGCGAAATTAGCGATGTAAGTTCAATCTGGTTTTATTAATATTCTATTTAGTCAAATCGTATGCTAGTAAGTGTAACTGTGACTAACTACCATTGAGCGTTTTCTGAGTGCGAAGGATCACTACGGGTCATGTAACATAGTAAACTTGACTGTCCGCTAAAAAGCAACTGTAGCTGTTTGAAATAATTCCTACTGTCACGTCCAACACATTTATACGGTTTAAAAGAAATTAAGAAGGGTGGAAACTTTGCCTCTTTTTTTATTTATTCGCTAAATTAGTCGTTTACAATGTTCGTTTCTTCACTTTTGCAATGTTTATATCATTTAAATTATTATTGAGATTACCACTCAGCGTTCGAATAATGTACGCGATTATGTACTTATCACTATGTTAGTCGGTCTGCATTTAGCGCGTGCTCGATGTTTTCATTCGTATACACTCCTGTTCATAAGTATTAGGACACTTATTGAATGTGAACTAAATCTAACCAGTGATTACAAAATTATTAAGAACGAAGAAAAAATTATTTAGTTTAGAATCTGGTGGTATATTTTTACTGATATATCGTCACTTTGATACTACCGCTAGATAATTCATACTCCATTCGTAACTCTGAAATTTTCTGATGTTTCTGAAATTTTACTTCTTTTCGTTACACTTCCTTCCTTAATTTTCGTATGTTAGAAGTGGACAACTCTAGCAGCACTTGGAAATATTAAAAGTGGACATACTTAAAATCATTTCCATGTTCAACGCTAAAACTCGATAATGAACTCGGTTGTTCTAGTAAAGAGTTTAAGATACCTAGTTGTAGTATTAAGGCGGCGATGTGATACTAACATTGTTTGTATAATACTTTCTATACAAACATAACAAGTGTCCTAATTTAATTAACCTAGTCCACGCAGCACTCGGTGAATATTTATTCAAATTGTTGGTCAATAGTTCAGATGAACAATTTTGTCCTTCTGATATTTGTTTCTGTTCTGTATTTTCTACATTGTCTGTCCATTTTTTATATATACTTTTCACGTTACTGCGGAATAATTGCGCTCGTTTGGTTAGTACAGGACATTCTCCTCTGGCAAAGAAATCTATCAGTGACTTGGGTAGCTTCGTAAAAAGTATTATTCAGCAAATCTTTACCAAAGTTAGGGTCTATTAACTTGATACTACAATGTGGTTTAATTCATCGTTTAAGAGTTGCATCTTGGACGGTTTCCTTTCTTGAATTAAATTGTGTCTAAATACAATATAAATCTAATTATCGAAATTAAAATTATACTTGCTTGCACTGCATTAAAATTATTAATTTGTTTCTGTATTCGTTAATAATAATGAACAAAATCTTAATTACTAATTACGTCATTTTCGTAAATCCTTTTTCAGTCAATGTACGTACTATGTAACAATAATATTGTTTTTTAGCTTGCATAACTGAATTTTGCATAGTAACTGCAGTAAACTAAAACTAAAGTTTCACTCGTTCCTCTCCTTGTTACATTACGTTGTAAAATTGTGAAACTTGTAAAAATATATCGAGCTACTGTATGTAAACAATGTATTAGGTATAGAAAAGTGTTCTGTGCTTTTTTCGGTAAAAAAATTGACGTTCGTTTCAAAAACGCAGACATTAGTTCAATCATTGAGGTATTCTTCATTGTTTTCAATGGCTTTCCTTCACATTTCGAGCAGCGTACTAATTCCATTACGGTAAAAACTTGGTAGTTCTGATGCGATAAAATGAGGTGTCCAGTGCAAGAGAGAGTTATGCCACAAAATATTAAGAAATGAGTTTTTAATCTAATACAAGTAAAATGTACAAAAACATATGTTTTGTCAAGTAATATAGTCTTAAATAAAATATTTTGTAATAAGAACAGTTTTTCTAAAGCTTCTTTTTCAATCCAATTTTCAGATTTAAGCGTACAGAAAATAAAATAAAAAGTAAAACATTTTCCCAGGTATAGTATTCTGATATTAATAACTTTAAATAAAGAAATAGCCTTAATTACCCAATTTCTACCGAAACACTACTTTTCAGAAAAGTCTCAATATCTCACAACGCTACTATCCTGGCATAGCTCCTTCTATACACTGGACCCCTCAAAATCATCGGTAGATTTTCGGATATCATCAACTGTATTGCTAATGTTGCAGTGATCTCAACAAGTGATAAGCAAATCTGGTAAATACGCTGGAAGGAATTCCCAGTTCAAGCTGAAGATGACTTTAGTTGCCTGAGCAACATGCAACCGAGTGTTGTTGTGCAACGGCGTGATTTTGCAGCTTTCTTGACCAGTAAATGGTCTCCTTTTCTCCAATTCGTCGTTTAAACTTATCAGTTAACATTGAAATTTCGTTTTTCGAGTTGCCTCAGAAGCTCTTTTCGAACCTGCGTTGGATTTGCATCCCGTTCTTCTTGTAGGTCCTGATTATCTAACTTCCCACAGTTCACCAGAGCGTGGCTGGTCTCAAAATTTCCCTTGCAAAGTAACTGATATCACACTTTTACAAACAGCGTGAATTACAGCATTCTCACCAAAAGCGGGGCGAATCATTTCAGCAGCTTCAGCGACATTTTTATTAAGCTGAAATGCGAAGAGGATGCAACGCCGAGTATGCACTTTATCGGTGGCCATCGTATTCACAACTGCTTTCTCAATTATACCGCAAGAAAAATGACAAAGTACACGCTGTTGAAAGAACCGAATGAAAGAGCGGGAAGATTTTTAAATTTCACACCGTGTTACAGACTGCAAAACTAACAGCACAGAACTTTTTTCTACACCTAATAATTGTATTAAAACTTAATTGATATTTAAATGAAATAAAATCAGTATTTGCATTTTTAGTCTGAGAATCTGGAACCGGTACAGAAGTTTACAAAACATTATAAACATTAAACGTGTATGTTATACAAATTCTCAATTCCTCTTTAAATAAATAATTACTTGTTATAATTTGCAAGTTCCACAAATTCGTCTTTTCGTCGCAACAATTTCCTTTCTCTGTAGAAACAGATTGATTTTTTACAATAAAAGTTCATTTATAAACTATTTCTTCGTGACTTTGGTACTAGTGAGGCTACAGAATCGCGAAACGTCGAAATTTCTTCGCCACCCAACGAGTTCTTAGTTCTGGATTGCCTACCAGCCAATATTATAAACGTGACTGGACTTCTCATAAAAAACTTTCCCTTCCTCGTTTGATCGTTCCACCTTCTATCTTTCTGTGCTTGATCTAAACGGCCGAAATAATCGTCCATTTCTCGTCCGTTCGTGCAGCATGGACCTCCCTGTTTCGTTGAAATTCCAAGTTCATCCTTAGCTTCAACCCTTTTCACGAGCACACGTTTAAAAACAAAGAGGAACGAGAAAATCTCTGGAATTGACAAAAGAAGGTCCAAGGATTGATTTTAATAAAGTTTGATATTTAATTTGATAATTAACACGGTTAATTACGAAACAAAACAGCATCGCTACAACATTCAAGAGTTCTCTAACGGAGATAAGCTGGGGTCTCGTATTAAGAGAGGTTTCATATTAAACAACTTTACCCTATACATAATAATAACAATTACAAAAGATAAAATGAGTGTAAATACTTTTTCTACTAACTTAAACTACATTTTGTAGAGGATAAAGAAGTGTCCGGATCCTTTTGAGCGGTAGTGTACATATGTGACCTTAAATGTAACATGTAAGAAAAATTGTTTAAATTGGTTCCCATCAACCAACTGTCTTTTGAAGTACATTTTAAGTAAAACACTTAAAACAATAGGGAGTTATTGGTAAAGAAAGTTGGAGAAAGATTAGGAATTCAAAGGGTTAAAATGTAAACGACTAGTGAGCGCAGTATGTCCTTAAAACGGTCAACTCTATGTCAAAATCACCTTCTGGCTTCCTGTTGCTTAATCAAAACGATTCAGTGCATTGGCAAGAGTTTTCCTATCAGCCTCAAAGTCCATGAGAAATCTCATCCGGGCCGTTCGTATTTTTCAGGACGAGAAGGACCTGTCGGCGGCGGACGCGGAGGGTGTATGGTCGCCGGATATCGAGCAGAGCTTCCAGGAAGCTCTCACTATATATCCGCCATGCGGCCGACGCAAAATCATCCTGTCCGACGAAGGGAAGATGTACGGTGAGTCGAGCAATTTCCTGGTAAATCTCTCTTCGACATTTTCGCTAGAGTGAAAAAAAATAGCGGAAAGAAAGACTGGTAGGAGGAGGAGGTGAAAGAAGTAGTAGAAAGCATATATAGGGTGCTCCGGAAATCGTGGTACAACCGAAAAGAAGGTGATTTCTCGTGTAAAAGTAAGTTGAAAATGTAGAATAAAATTTTCGAGAAAATCGAATTTGAATATTCGTTAAGTACACGTGCACTTGATTACCCACAATCTGCTTGGTTCACCCAATCTGACTACAGTAAATTCTCCACAAGTGTCAGTCCGCAAGGAACCTAAACCTGACACTTGTAGAGTCAGGGACTACGTTTTCGAGCCTCGCGCCCGCCTTTGTAGTTTGCCGAACGTAGACAAGGACAGCGAATAAAAGATAAGGATGAAACGTGAGTTGAGTCGAGGTAACCAAGCGATTTAAATACCAACTTTTTTAATTTTTCTTAACATATTGATGAGATTTTTCTGATGAAAATGACATCAAACACGACATAATTTGAACAACATTTACTGTCACGCCAGACAGTGAACAGAAAACGCCAGATTAGAAAAATCTTACCAACATGTTAAAAAAAATTTCAGATGAAAAAAAGTAAAATTAAAGAAATTATATTTTTCTATTATGAATTGTCGAGCCGTGAAATCTCGTAAAAGAAACCGAGTGGTGTAGCGTTACACGCTTGACTGACAGCGAGCGAGATAACATAGGCGCAGCAATGACGCAGACCTAGGCGTAGGACCATCTATACTGACACTTGTAGAATCCAAACTGACTGACACTTGTAGAGAATTTACTGTATTCACCGTTGTTTGTATAGTTAAAAATAATGCAATGAATTTCAATAATATGTTTATTTTATTAATTGAAAAATTGCTAAAAATGTCGTCCTTGAAAGAATCACGAACCGATGATAATGTGTTCAAATTCTTCATTTTCTCGAACACCCGTATGATACTGTATTTTAATTGAAGAGGATTTTAACCATCTTTAGAATAGTAGAGTCACGTTAAAGAAAGCAATTTATTCTAAAGTTAAAGAATACTCAAACTCGATGTTTTCAAAATCGGAGCTCTATAAGAATAACTATTATTCTATATTTTCTATTTACTTTCACGTGAGGAACCACCTTATTTCCGGTTGCATCATGATTTCCGGAACACCCTGTATACGACGAATCGTTCCGTTTCGAAGTCTATAACGTATGTACACAGTCTGACGATGGTCAGATAGCAGATTGATTCCGCCGCTTGTCTCGCTCGACTTGTTGCTAACGTTTGGATTTTAGGTGAACGATTTCACGTAAATGCTCCAACGTTTCGCAACCTTCTTCTTTTTCACCTGAACTCGATTTCATTTTTCGTATTCGTAACAATAATATAATTCGTGAATACATACGTATTCGTAATATAATTTAATACGAATGCACAATGGATAGGTAGCATATTTTGTGTCCTGCGGTCATTTTGAATGTGAAGTTCCGCGTCTCATCTTTTGGTCACTGAATTATTGTAATTAGATTGAAATAGTTTTAGATTCTTAAATATCTGGTGTGCTTGAAATCAATTAATCGGTACACATCTAAATGTCGAAACAGGGAATATATAATGCGCAAATATTTTTTATAGGGTAAGATAGGAGAAAATCTTTAAGCAGTAAAACTTGAGAATACAAGTAAATTTCGAAGTATTTTAGAAAGCAGTTGAATAATTTGGCAGTAAAGGCTTTTAACAATTTGTCTGATACTAATCTTACAAAAGATATCACTTAAGTGCCACACGGTACCTTTTCATGGTACCTGATATTAGGAAGAACATTCTGTGTGTATGATACAGGATGACAGTGACTTTTCTAAATAATCATACTAATTAATCTTAACGTTTTCGTACTTCTCTCATCCTGCGAAAATTTTCGAAGATTTCCAATAATCTTTTCCGCATGCTATCATCGAAATACATTCCAAAATTCTACTGATTGACTAAATCAGTCTAATCTCTAACCTCTAATCTTATATAAGACTTCAAAAATTAGCATTGAAGATTCTTCAACGCAGCTTTTCCTTCGTATCACGATAAAAATATTCCTCAGAAAAAAGACGTCCAGTAAATGAATCGCACCGCAACGGGTTACATTGAAATCACCGACAAGAATTTATCAACACCAGGCTTGATCGATAACAGCTTCAACCGACAACAGTTTCAAACGACAACAGAAACAACCTAACTCAGTCTAACCGTCAATAGAAATTTTTGGTTTATTTCGACTTGGCAATATAACTTCTGCAATAGTACAGTCACTGTCTTCTAAACGTGACGAAGACATTTCTTGTATAATTATCACAGTATCGCTCTAATTGTAAAATGAACTATCGCGCAATTACACTGCCGCTCAAAAGTTTGGAGCACTATTCGTTGTACGGATAAAAGCTTTTTCATGCAAACAGATGCAGTGGTTTTATTAGAAATATTGTACTTATACATTAAAATAGCGTTGCACAAGTACGATGTAAGATTGAAATTTAAATTATAATCCGCCTGAGCTCTTGGGGGACGAACTGTACAGAAATATAAAAAAGTGCCCAACATCTAAAATAGATCTGTAGAAATATTTACAAGGAGCTTGGAGCTATATTAAACCGGGAGCAGTTGAAAAATGAATTGTCAGAATGAAGAAATTACGTGAAGGGTTCATATAGAAAAATAGTGGATTCTTTTGTGAAAAAATACTTTCCTAAATTTGTATTGCTTTTCTATAAAGTAAGTACAAAATAATCCTAATTTTTACTTTTAATCGTTACTAAGTGTAGTTTCATTACTATAGCAGAATAATATTTTCAATAAAATATTCATTTACTTAAGGGAAACTTTGTTTATTTTGAAATCGAAACGTGCTCCAAACTTTCGAGCGGCAGCGTAAATATCACCGAAGTACAGACACAGTGTCTGTAAAAGCTGCCATCCGTCAATGTTGCTGCCTGTTAAAATTGCTATCGATATACCCCAATGCGCTATCTTCGCTCAAAACTTAAAACAGTCTGATTGTCGAGCCGTTCGAAGAGGAAGACAGTCGAAGTGTAGTTTGCTTTCATCCCAGAACTGCTTTCATCTTCGCAAATAATATCGCGACGAGGAAAAACAACCTTGCACGAAGGATCCGCACAGTTCCTTGTGCTTCACGTACACGTGACAGTAGAAACGTCCGGACGGGCGTCGTTATTGCTCGATGCTGAGGTCAGTCTACGTGACCGACCAGATATTGCCTGCTACGACCACCGGTACCACCGTAGTCACCACCATTAACCACCATGAGCCACCACCGAGGCAATAATGCCACGCCTCGAAAGATACCCCTCTTGACCAGCGTCTTTGTCCCAATATAGTTCCACCATTTTCCGACATTTTTTTTTTCATTCCCTGTCAACGAACTTTTACAGTCCATTCATAAAGTATACAGACCTTTATCTAGTTTTTGCTTTTTTTTTAACATTTCCTCAGCTATGATGACATTTAGCGGTGTTTGTTGTTATTTTTTGTTAATATTTCTTCTATTGTCCATTTGGAAGATACTTTGTCACTTTCTGCTTTTTTACCGAGTAAGACATTTGAGCATAAGATCGTCTAAGATGAAAAGGATTATGATAATACCCATTTGGTTAATGATTATGTGCTAATGAATGACTAATTTCAGTAACTAATAAGGGGGAGTGAAATGTTACGTGTTATGAATTTATAAAGCAATGAATCAGAAGCGGTACTGATTACATGGAATAGTTTCTTTGTTTTGCTTTAGGTTAGCTACTTCGTCCACTGACTCATTTTACACGTTGGAAGATTGATATACAGGGTGTCTGTTTTATCTCAATACACCTAAATATTTTTTAAGGAAGTGATGTTAGGGAAAAAATGTTTTAACAAAAGTTGTTTGAAACAAGGGGGAAAATTATGTGTCATAAATATTTTTTTTGTACCGGGTATGGTGGGGGAGATTTCAAAGTCAGTTTAATTTGTTTAAAATAAAATGCTATATTTTTTTATACATAATATGACGAGTCCAACGAGGTGCGAACAAAGTCATTTCCTTTGATAAAACAGACACATAGTTATTGCCCCACCCTGTATATTAAAATAAGCATAGAAAGTTAATAGACAAATAAAAAGCTACTGTGAAAAATGAAAGGAAGTATATTGACAACTAATAAGTATAAATAAACTGTTCTCTAATTTAATTTTACCAAGAAATTAAAAATGATTAAATGACTTACGGGATCTGCTATTTTTCTCTACACCCCTTTACTAATACGTTCTTAGTACTTTAAAGACTTGCTAAAAATTGCAACCTCCGCCTAACCTTATAAAGAACGAGGAAAAATTTTCTGGGACGCGTATTGCTTCTCGCGACGAAATTCGTCGCACAAACAAACCACCCTCCCGCCCTTTTTACAGTCATCCACTTCCAGCCCTTCTTGCCTCTTGGATTTCCCGCGTTTTTCGGTCAGATGTAGGCTTGAATCCCCATTCGTTAAGGCACAATGTCGCTTAATTTTCGAAAGCACTCCACAGCGAAAGCCGGCGGCTGGCAATTCAATCTTGGTCCGCGGCCGCTCTATCAAAACGAAGCTTAATTCGGTCCTCCACCGTGTTAACAACGAAGCTGCAAACGAAAACAACGAGTGCAACAATCGACAAAGCCGTGTATCTTCGTTCTGCGACTTCTACCAACCTCTAGTTCTTTTCTGTCAGTGTTAAAGTGCATATTAATTTTAGAAACTCTCCAGCAAGGGTTGATTTACGGCGCTGCTCTTTGCTGACCGAGAAAAAAAGGGAATTAAAATATCTTTGCTCGGGGATTAAAACAGTTCCAAAACGTGCAAGTCAAAAAGGGAGTGATTCCACATAAAGAAAGAAATTGAAAATCATAAAGCATTATTTTCCCGTGCAATATTTCGTTTTCAAATGCGTTAATATT